ATTATTATTATTATTATTATTATTATTATTATTATTATTAATTACAGAGTAGTCTCTGACAATGCTGGCTCCTCAGCTTAATAATGGAGATGTACACCACCCCCTACGGTCGGACACAACTTGACAACTTTGTCAATGGGGAATACCTTTTACCTTTACTATCATTATGGTCCACAAATCACTGCCAAAATCTCTCATTTTTGGAGTTGGCACAGGAAGAAAAACAGACCTCACCATTCCTTGCCATTTTTGATATTTTTCTTTTGTGAAAAATAAAAGTACAGTACTTACCATTCTAGTCAGTTGTTTCAGGTTGACCTGTTCAAAAATGTCTTCACTTGTAGTCATTAAGCCATAATAATACTAGTACAGCATGATGGCATACCACTTTTACACTATTACCTTCAAAAATAAAAAAATAAAAATAATTTGTTAAAAAGTATTCCTGTGGTGGTAACTCTGTGGTGTGTGATACCACAGGAAAGCAGTAGAGAAATCTTTGGAAAACACCTCTATGTAGTAAAGGTATGTGAATAGTGAATTTCAGTGGGTAAAAGGTCAGAATTGCATCGTTATTGTACTATAAGAAATCTGAAAAGGATTTAAGGAGCATATAACACAAAAGACACAGCTGGGAAAGTCTTGTCCTCTTTGTCCAAGCGTTAGAAGTAGTCTGCGGTTTCCCTGCTGGTGATGTCTTTGGTAACCCCCAAGGAAGGGACAACTAGACCACGCTGACCATGTGCCTACTCATCAATTGTCCTCACAATAAAGCGGAATGAGATATTTGCGCTCAAACTGGCTACTGAATCATAGCAGGAAACAGGGTTGTTAACAGATTATTTTTAGCATAGAAAAAATACATTCCCAACAACCATACATGACAACAGGACTGGGAGAACCACTGCTATGATTGTATAATGGCGTGGAACGTAAGAATCTGCACAGAACCATGGAAACTACTGGATGACCTTGGGCAAGTCACACACTCTTATTGCTGTTGTTGTTGTGTGCCTTCAAGTAATTTCTGACTTATGGTGACCTGCAAGACAAACCTGTAACAGGATTTTCTTGGCAAATTTTGTTCAGGGGGATTTTTTGCCCTTGCCTTCATCTGGGGCTGAGAAACTTGCCCAAGGTTCCCCAGTGGGTTTCCATTGCTGAGCAGGGATTTGAACCCTGGTCTCCCTGAGTTCTGGTTCAACATGCAAACCACTACACCAGCACTAAACCACTACAGACATATCACAATAGCACAATTACTAAAAACAACACTGCTTGGAATGACCCACATTATCAGACAATACCTCCCTAATCTGTAGATTCATGGTTCATAGTGACCCTGTCACTGGATTTTCTTGCCAAGATTATTCAGAGGAATTTTACTATTGCTGCCTTCTAAGGCTGAAAGAGTGTGACCTGCCCAAGGTTCCACAGTGGGTTTCCATTGCTGAACAGGGATTTGAAAACTGGTGTCCCAAAGTCCTAGTCCAACACCCAAACCATTACACAACACTAGCTCCCAAAATATTTACATCCCTCCCTATATCTTAAGATCTCAGTGCAATGTACAATAAAATCAGTTTTAGAACATTTGAATTATTTTAAAAGCATATTAAATAACTTGAAGCTCAGGCCAAAATCAAACATGTACTTTAAAGTGATTTAAGTATTACTCATAGAATCATAGAATCATAG